AAAATGAGGACCTAATGGGGGTTTAAATGGAGAGAAAATGTTTTGAGAAACGATGTACAAATGCGCTTTACACAATTGATGTGTGTATTGATTGGGATAACAGTTGTATGAGCCCCTAATAAAATGTTAAAAAAGAGAAGAAAAAAAAAGGCAAACTGAAAACATTGGCTGATTTTCATCATTGAAATAGTTAACATTTATAATACTCTTGGTTCTTGGAATTAATACCTCATAAGAAATGCAATGGGGACTTTTCCTTTTGAATAGGATAGAGTAGCATGGAACAGCTTTATTTCCCCACCAAAAAACAAGTCCAATTGGACAAAACATATAAAAGAACATCTTTAAGACATTAAACATCAGAAAACAAAGGATAGCAATCTCTAAAAGCAAAACAAAAGGTAAAAAATTATATGAACCATATCATGTCCATTTCACTGCCTTTAAAAAGTTTCCATCCCACAGCCTGGGGAACAGAAGTCTCATAGAGGCTAGTGAATTCCGGGTTTAGGAGATGGAGATAATACTCCAGGAAGACCAGAGTGTGAGAGTTCACAGAGCAGAGTATTTGAGAGCAAAGCCCTGCATAGAGAGCACTCGATATCTGCAGAGGTTTCCTCAAGTATTAAATCCATGCATATACTTGGATGTAAGGAAACTACCCAAGTTGAGGTGGGGGAAGGGGGCATACGCAAAACTATTAGAAGGGAACGTTCCATGTCTTACAAAAGGTCAAAAATAGCGCCTATATCCAGCAGTCAAATTTCTCAAATTCGCAACTCGGAATGCTTTGGGAAAGTACCAAGGGTAGCTCGGCAGTGGTGACTAATAATCGGTTCCAGACTAAATGCTGCTCCTGGTCTATCAAACAGATTCTTAAAGTAAAACCCAAACTGAATAAACGATTCCCAACAACTAACTGTCTATCAGGAGGTTGTTGTTTTCAGGTGCCGCCAAGTCAATTTTAACTCATAATGGGGAAAAGGAGCGAAAAGGTTTTCTACAAACTTTTTGAAGCCCCCTCATATACATTTGTATTAAGAGAGAAAGAGAATTTTGCCTTGGTGGGTGCTCAGTGTGTGTGTGTGTGTGTGTGTGCGCGCGCACCATCCTGATAGTGTAATTGGTTTTCATTAGATTTATAACCACAGAGCCAGCAGTTCACACCTAACCTGTGGTGCCACGGGGGACAGATAAATTTGAATCAACCAAATGGAATTGGATTTAGTTAATTTATGTATATTTGTCTTGGTAGGTCTATCAGTTTACACATACACACATATACACAAATATTTTGTAAAATTCACAGTCTTCCATATAATACAAAAATTACCAAGAACTCAAAGAAGGGGCAAATTATAACTAGTAATGATAAGAAAAATCAACCAAACCAACCAAACAACATCAAAGCAGAAATGACATGTTAGAATTAATAGAAAGAGCATCAAATCAGTTATTATAACTATATGCTATATGTTCAACAAGCTAGATGAAAGATTAAACACATTGAACAGACACGGGAAAGATATAAAACAAAGACATTTCCTAGAGATTGAAAATTATGTCTTAAAAGAAAGATTTACTGGAAGGAATTAATAAAGTAAACCTGGTAGAAGAAAAGACTTGAAGGCATAGTAATAAAATGTATACAAAGAGAAAAATCATCTTTAAAAAATAGCATAAGTGAGCTCTATGGAACAACTAACTCAAATGCATGAAATCAGACTCCCTGAAGGAGAAGTGAGAGGTAATATAATGGCTGAAAATTCTCCAGATGTGATTAAAACTATAAACCATATTTTTTAAATCAAGGAGCTACCAAACATTAGAAAGAAACTAAAAATACCTACCCAAGGCATACAGTATTCTAATTACTGAAGACCAATAAAGGGGTTTTATCAGGAGCCTTGGTGGTGTGATGGTTATGAGCATAGCTGCAAGGTCAGCAGTTTGAAGCCACCAGCTTCTCAGTGGGAGAAAGACAGAGCTTTCTGCTCCATAAAGAGTTATAATCTGGGAAAGTCACAGGGCAGTTCTACCCTGTCCTATATGGTTGCTGTAAGTTGGCACTGACTCAATGACAGTGTGTGTGTGTGTGTGTGTGTGTGTGTGTGTGTGTGTGTGAAGAGACTGAGAAGCTCAATATGTAAGCTCAGATTGAATTTGAAGCAAATTAAAATAAGTCTAGAGTATATCCTGGAGTATATCCCATCTAAATTTTGAGAACATCTTAAGAACAGATCTGCTTCATTGAACATTAGTGACAGAAGGGC